TGATTATATTCCCTTCCACCTTGCCTTTTCATTGGGGCTTCTTTTCAATTTAAAAGTAGTTGTCTGTTTCTATCCAAACAATATATTTTCAGATGTTGTTGTTGTTGTTGCATTAAGTGTTTAAGAGGTTGCCTGCTGCCTAAGCAATTTCGGCTGACCCGTCCCTCTTTGGAACTCCTGTGTGTGAGTTGGGTACACAGAAATTATGTGAATACCAAACTCACAATAGATCTATTGTGAGTTTGGTATTCACATAATTTCTGTTTTTGTATTGATATGATTTTTTATTTTCTTATATTGATATGATTTCATTTTTATCCTTGGCTGCTCTGTTTATATACGTTCGAGTAGCTGTCCATCTCTCAGAAACAGAGTTAGTTTGGCCTTTGCTATTGCATCTCTTGGCTTTAGGAGATCTATGACAGATAGCAGATCTAACTGCAATTCTTGTTTTAACCTAGCCCGGGCTGGGGCATGGTCTTGACATTCTAGTAACACGTGATCAATGGTTTCAGCCTGATTGCAAGATGAACAAACCTTGTCATAGTGCTTTTTGTGACCGAGTCTGAGGTGTGAGATAGCAATTTCAATTTTCCTTTCATTTGAGTATGAGTTTGGCTTTTGTTGGACCTTGGGTTGAATTTTGTATAGCCATCTGCCGATCTTACTTGCGTCCCATTGGGCTTGCCATCTTTCTGCTATGGAGGCTTTGATTTTCCTTTTTATCTCTAGTTTACTAAAGGGAATAGGCTGTATATCCGCTTTGTCTAGAGCTAGCTTCGCCAGTGAGTCTGCTTTTTCATTTCCATGAATATCTATGTACAGTCCGTTTGACTCCAAATGAGAACGATGAATTGCAAAATAACATCAATACAGTACTTGACCATGAATACCCTGTACCCAAAAAAATCTGAATTTTGTTTATTTTAAGACCCATGACGGATGAAGTTCTTTAAGAAACTATCATGTAATTTTGTATAGAAATGTGTACATGACACGTAGGGGGGACAAACCGTGGAAGGCACAGCGCAAGCACGCATGCACTGCACGTTCTGTGGTAGGGGAAATGACAGACTGTTAGAGGGGCCGTCTCATGATAATTTCAGTCGCAATCTGACTCGCTCATGCCATAGATCTCGTCGTCGGAACTGCTGGTGCCTGAACTGACTGCCACTATTATAGGTTGGACTGTTGCTGGCCGTAGTCCATCTCGTGACCAATAACGTGGCTCTATCTCGTCAACGACTGTGGCCACACAACGCCTCCATGTTTCTACTGTTACCCGACCAAGGGATTCCTTTACGAGTTGTTCAACGTCTCGTAATTTGAACGTTGTGTTCGATCGTCCAACGTCAACCTTGACGATGCCCCATACCAACTCGATTGGATTCAGGTCGCAGTGATAAGGTCGCAGTCGTAAGACAGCGTGACCCTGACCCTTGATGTAACTGTCAACTTTATACACGGGGTCAGGTTTCATAGTTTTGAGGATTTCATAGAGCTGTGATTTCTTCGCTCGAGAAGGAAAGGTAATGTTCCTCCGTTGCAGCCAAGTAATCATGTCTCCTTTACGGTTATTAGAGGTTGGAGTCTTGTTTTCTGGATCCTGCACACTATGATACGGTGCATTGTCCATGACAATGAGAGACTTGGTAGGCAAAGCAGGGACTAATTTATCTTTCACCCACTCCAGAAATACATTGCCGTTCATTTCTGTGTGGTAGTCCCTGTTGTCTTTGGCCTTGGCACTAAAGACGAGGTCACAGTCTGGGAGAAAACCCTGACTAGCAGAACCAGCATGGAGAACTATGAGTCTTTCACCCTTTCCCATTGGTAATTTTCTACCAGACTCCTTACAGTCACCACTGGGTACCCACTGACTGCTGGCTGTGTGTGACGCATTTACCCATGTCTCATCTAAGAAGACGGGCTCATATCCTTCTTAACGTTTCTGCTTGATGGTACGAAGGTAATGATTTCAGAAACGAACAATGTCAGATCGTTCACACAACACAGCCCTATTTTTCTCCAGTTATCTTTTTGTATTTGTAACCAAATGTATGCAACAGCTGCCATAGTTTGTACTTTGTAACACGTTAATCATGGTCAGTTTCAAGGTGTTTCTTCAAAATTCTTAGGGACAGGTACTTTTAACAATTGCACGTCTGTTATCCCTCTGAAAACTGTCTAATTTATCAACCTTGCGTGGTTTTGACATGTTCCCTACCTCCTTGGCCTGACTATTTGTATCTCGTCGACTAACAACATTTTTCACTTTCTGAGGGGACATACTAAGAGCTTTTGAAGGTCGTTTCAAGAATTTATTAATTGCATAAAAAGGCTTTGCTCTTTCTGCTTCACTTCTAAAGAAATCTTACACATTCAACATCAACTGTTTAACATCTGCTGAGTAGCACATCTTGTCATTGAATGAACACGGTCACTGTGTAGCACGTGCAGACCGTGCTGTTCCTTCCACGGTTTGTCCCCCTACGTGTCATGTACACATTTCTATACAAAATTACATGATAGTTTCTTAAAGAACTTAATCCGTCATGGGTCTTAAAATAAACAAAATTCAGATTTTGTTGGGTACAGGGTATTCATGGTCAAGGGTATTCATGGTCAAGTACTGTATTGATGTTTCATACACTTTTCTGGATTTCGAGTTATTTTGCAATTCATCGTTCTCATTTGGAGTCAAACGGACTGTAAGAGGGGATCCAACACAGCTCCACCTGTTGCCCTTGGTCCGATAGTATATTTTCAGAGTAAGCATTAGCACTTATATATGTGTGTAGGCAGATTTGGATGTAACCAAAATGAATTGTGAAAATAAATGTTTAGTCGGAGTACACTCCTCTGTGACCAATCCAAATACCGACTTTCATCCCACGATTGCGTGATTATGTAATGAGTGGCTGGTGTTTTGATGAGTCAGCAACTCTGTGGTCAGTTGTCACACTGGTGTGAATGAGGATGTCCACACAGGTGGGACTTGACGAACAGGACGTAGGGGGCGCCGGTTCATTGTCAACTCCTCTACATACAACACAGTCACTGGGTCGAGGTTCTTATTCTCAGTGACCACAAACCTTACACCATATAGTGGGTGTTGCATTGTCAGTGTATCCGGTGTATATATACATATATATACAAATGATAAATTCAAGAGATGTTGGTGTTCAGAAAAAAATTGTAAAATGTTTGAAAATCTCTTTGTAAAGCACTACAGGGATTTATTTAAACCATATATGATATTTGGCCACAAGTCAGCAACAAACATCAGTAAAAAATCCCAAAATGTAAATTTAAATTATTCCAAGGCATGTTATTATAGGTAGAACTAATATTATGGCCGAGCAGAAACTTGTATTTGACTGATTTCCTTAATAACTGTAATAATCTGATACTGGAAGTTGAAATCTTAAAATATTATTATTTTATAATTTTTTCTATAACAAGTATTTGTCACAGAGTGACGAAATATCCCCCGCCTGTACACCATAGTTCCAAATATGAAGACAATCCAGCGATTAGTTCTTGAGATATTGTGGCAACACCGTTTTCCAACTCCAAAAACGGATTTGCCTGCTGTGACCTTGAAAATGGGGTCAAGGTCACCAAATCTGACAGGTGTATGCGGTGTCTGTATATACACTATAGTTCCAAATATGAAGACAATCCAGCGATTAGTTCTTGAGATATCGCGGCAACACCGTTTTCTAACTCCAAAAGCAGATTTGCCTGCTGTGACCTTGACAATGGGGTCAAGGTCACCAAAACCGACTGGTGTCTGCGGTGTCTGTATATACACCATAGTTCCAAATATGAAGACAATCCAGTGTTTAGTTCTTGAGATATCGCGGCAACACCGTTTTCCAACTCCAAAAGCAGATTTGCCTGCTGTGACCTTGAAAATGGGATCAAGGTCACTAAAACCGACTGGTGTCTGCGGAGTCTGTATATACACCATAGTTCCAAATATGAAGACAATCCAGTGTTTAGTTCTTGAGATATCGCGGCAACACCGTTTTCCAACTCCAAAAGCAGATTTGTCTGCTGTGACCTTGAAAATGGGATCAAGGTCACCAAAACCGACTGGTGTCTGCGGAGTCTGTATATACACCATAGTTCCAAATATGAAGACAATCCAGTGTTTAGTTCTTGAGATATCGCGGCAACACCGTTTTCCAACTCTAAAAGCAGATTTGTCTGCTGTGACCTTGAAAATGGGATCAAGGTCACCAAAACCGACTGGTGTCTGCGGAGTCTGTATATACACCATAGTTCCAAATATGAAGACAATCCAGTGTTTAGTTCTTGAGATATCGCGGCAACAAACAGGTGGGTCGTACGGACGGACGTACGGACGGACGGACGGACGGTCGTGAATACTATATCCCCCGCTTCGCGCTTTCGCGCGGCGGGGGATAATTATATACAGACAATGGAGGGACCTCTCTCATCTGGTAAGAAAAAGACAATTGGGAAATACACGCTTTTATCTTAAGTTATTTTTCGCCTGCCACACATTTTTATTTTCCGTTTTGAATGAATGAATGAATGAATGAATGAATGAATGAATGAATGAATGAATGAATGAATGAATGAATGAATGAATGAATGAATGAATGAATGACATAGCTATTTATTTTTATTTGGACCGACCTTTATGTGGAAAAGCTGGAATAAATCCGTGAAATAAAAACTTAAAAAGTGTGTCTTAATGTCTTGGAAATGCTGGAATAAATCCGTGAAATAAAAACTTAAAAAGTGTGTCCTAATGTCTTGGAAATGCTGGAATAAATCCGTGAAATATAAACTTAAAAAGTGTGTCCTAATGTCTTGGAAATGCTGGAATAAATCCGTGAAATATAAACTTAAAAAGTGTGTCCTAATGTCTTGGAAATGCTGGAATAAATACGTGAAATATAAACTTAAAAAGTGTGTCCTAATGTCTTGATCATGCTGACCACTCACTCAGTTGTTTGACCTACCTCGAATGTGGTCTGTGACAGTTCACCGGGGTGGGAGTTTCCAATGTCCGCTGTTATTTCCATTTTCTGAAATTAACAAATTCAAGTTAATCAGTTGTAGAGTCGCTGGCAAAATGACAAGTTTCCACAGGAACAGTATAATCTAAATTAAAATCTTAAATGTCTCATTTGTTTAACAAACTTTGAATGCTATACACATGTTTACACATATTTCAGGAGAAGTCCCAAACCCAATAAATGCCGACCAACTAATCTCCTTAAGACTTCATGATGTGTAAACATCTAAACCCACTTCACACCCACCATATTAATGTCGAGATTGAAATTCATTAAATGCCTTTTGTGCGGAGTTGTGTCCCTTGAATGTGTATATATGCTGATTGTGTTCAATCCTACCGTCTATCGCTGTGTATAAGGAGAGTTTTTCGTACCTCAAATGAGGGGGTTAAGAAGGAGGCTCGTCTTATACACAGAGTCGAAGATATCACATTTTTTTCCAGTTGTTTCACTTTCAGCTTCCACTGGCGATGTCAACCAGCGTCCAATAGCCAGCCCAGCATTTGACAATAAAACTTCGCATTTTGTCCTAAATAACTGTTCCAAAAACTATTTCCATTCATAAACATGATTTGTATCTGTTTTCCTTGAATAAAGTTTAATAATTTCTGCAAATAAAGTTGAAATTACCCTCGCCTCGATGCAGATTGTCAAACCAGCTGACACAGTAAAACAATCAACATCCGTGAGTAGAGAGCCGGAATTACTGGGAAGCATTTTCATATTGCACATGTGACCTAACATGTGATAACCAGTGAAGTTGAAATCAATTCCTGCTGTTTTTACAGTTGTATATCCTCCTTGATGACAAGTTAGCCCTTTCAATTGGAGTTTCTTGATGAAAGCGCAGAAGCCAGTTTTGTCCATTTTCATCAACAGAGAATACCTAGTTACTTTGAGCGAGTGAGTTGGGTTTAACGCCGCTTTTAACATTATTCCAGTCATATCACGGCATGTCAGCTTAATGTGGGAGGAAAGCCCGAAGTGATGCAGGTCTCAGACGTTTACCACTTTTGGTGAAACCCACGAGCACGTGTACGTGTACCTAGAAACATAATCGGGGCGAACCGGGATTCGAACCCACAATCATAGGTTTCTGGCGTGCCCAAGGGACGCAGCTCTGCACAGCGAATCGCGGCGCCTTAGACGACTGGGCCGCCCGTGACCCCCTAGCTACATTAATACCTGCAGTAATATGTTGCCTGGTTGTGTCCTTGGTTCAAATGCAGCCTGTAAGCATGGGTGAGGTGAGGTGGAATGGGGTTTTCACGTCGCATCCAAGATTATTGCTCTTATATAGCAACGTGCATGCACGTGTGTGTGTGTGTGTGTGGCTGCTTGTACAAGACCGGACTGATGCCGATTTATAGTGCTAGCCCACTGAGATACCATGCCGCAATTTAACATGAATACCCCACTCAGACACAGTATACTGTCTCGGGGCCGACCAGTCCTTGCTTTAACCCCTTAATGCCGAGTGCCAGGCAGGGTAACAACAAGTACCATCTTTTTAACGTCTTTTGGTATGACGCGGCCGGGGATCGAACCTCGGACCTTCCGCTCTCCAGGCGGACGCTCTACCACTAGACCACAGAGGCGGTCCTGTAAGCATGGGAAGTATTGTACTTAATACATGCAAATAGGGCTGGGATGGGTAACTCGGGTACTCGGTCAGTGGGTACTCAGTAGGACCCAGGTGCCCACAGGACTACCCAGACCCGTCGTTAATCACGTGATATATTGTTTAATGACAAACATTATCTAGAACTCTATGGTTACACTTTAAGTGACTAGTGTTTGCATTCCTTCTGACTTCATATGTTTGCATAAAGATAAAACATCAGTCAACTTCAGTTTATGCATGACCAGAACGGTTTGTACGTGAATCTAAATACATTTTGCCTGGGCTACGGTCAAACTATTCCCAGTCAGACATTTGGATCTATCTCTTGAGACCTACAGCTGGTACCAAGGTAGGCTCGGGTAATAGGGGGGTTGGTACCCGGGTATTAAATTTGGACTCATCCCAGCCACACATGCAAACCATTAAATAACCAATAAAACCATTAATATTATTCATTTTCATTTGTGATTTGACTAAGTTGGTTATCAACTTATTTTACACATCAACACGTTGCAGAAAGATGAACATATTTCTATGTAAGCCGAGGTTGAGACATACAAATGAAAGATTGCGATGAAAGTAAACTTACAAACATATTCTACATATTTTATTGATGAAATACATTTTGATCCTAATATTTTCATGTTTTGAAGAGAGGTTTGCCATGGTTTTCAACCTTTTTATCTTTTAATGCAATGTTTCATCTACTGTGAACTTTTTCAGTATTTCTACAATTCTACTGGTCTGTTTCCCCTGACTAGCTACTAGTTTGTCTCCCCTGACTAGCCACTAGGTTGTCTCCCCTGACTAGCCACTGGTCTGTTTCCTCTGACTAGCCACTAGGTTGTCCCCCTTGACTAGCCACTGGTCTGTTTCCCCTGACTAGCCACTGGTCTGTTTCCCCTGACTAGCCACTGGTCTGTTTCCCCTGACTAGCCACTAGGTTGTCGCCCTTGACTAGCCACTGGTCTGTTTCCCCTGACTAGCCACTGGTCTGTTTCCCTGACTAGCCACTAGGTTGTCCCCCTTGACTAGCCACTGGTCTGTTTCCCCTGACTAGCCACTAGTTTGTCCCCCTTGACTAGCCACTGGTCTGTTTCCCCTGACTAGCCACTGGTCTGTTTCCCTGACTAGCCACTAGGTTGTCCCCCTTGACTAGCCACTGGTCTGTTTCCCCGACTAGCCACTAGGTTGTCCCCTTAGACTAGCCACTGGTCTGTTTCCCCTGACTAGCCACTGGTCTGTTTCCCCCGACTAGCCACTAGTCGGTCTCCAAGACCCAAGAGTATTAATGAATTATGAATCGAATTCAAGTCTAGATTGTCTAGCCCACTGAAATTAAGCACTGGGCTCCATTTGAATTGTAATTTTATTTTGTAGATATATATAGTTTAAATAGGATAACTTTATTTCTGGGACTTAATACGAGTTTGACCAGCCACCATCAAACAGGTGTATAAACTCTTCAGTGCCAATGACCCGACAGCCATGTACTCCTTGAAAAGCACTCACCCACAGTTTTACACCCCTCTGACCTCTAGTCTGGCTGTATAATGGTGGGCTATTGAGCAGTAAAGATCACTAGCCAACAGTGATGCGGATCACTGGTCAAGGATGTCACTCTTGACTTAATCTACATAATCAAAGTAAGAAGGGTCAATGAACCTCACTCTTGAACAGTTGAATACCAAACTCCCAGGTTAATCTGATGGCACGAGGTCCCAGGTACAGCACACAAGACACAAATCAGGAAAAGTTTAGCAACACTGGTCAAGTGAAGCAGGTGGATGGAAGTTTGTGTTACCATATTCAACATAATAAGCGCCCACGGCGATATTTGCTAATATATTGGCTAGTGAACAATCCCAATTAGTACCCCTTCCGATTGATCAATGTACACAAGACTTATTTATTCAGGTATAATACGTGTGTTATAATAAAAAAAACTTATATGCATCCTTATTATGGGAAATTAACTTCTGGAAAAATATATCTGTCGTATATGAACATTTCAGGCTGCCAGCATCAACCACAAAATTTACGATCTTTCAACTCTGTTTTTTTCACCAAAATAATATTCTAAAAAGAGCCCCCTATTTCTAATTTTGAGAGCGCCCTGGGCATTTATTTTGTCAAATATGGTAGGCAAGTTTGACTCCTGAGAGATTCTAGGGCTTAGCACATGTGGTGTCACCCTAGCCTTAGCATTAATCGAAATGCGCCTCTGTTCACCCAGCAATGAAAGGGTACATACAGTCCGTTTGACTCCAAATGGGAACGATGAATTGCAAAATAAATGAGTGGCAGTCAGTTCAGGCACCAGCAGTTCTGACGACGAGATCTATGGCATGAGCGAGCCAGATTGCGACTGAAATTATCATGAGACGGCCCCTCTAACGCTCTGTCATTTCCCCTACCACAGAACGTGCAGTGCATGCGTGCTTGCGCTGTTCCTTCCATGGTTTGTCCCCCTTCGTGTCATGTACACATTTCTACACAAAATTACATGATAGTTTCTTAAAGAACTTCATCCGTCATGGGTCTTACATTAAACAAAATTCAGATTTTGTTGGGTACAGGGTATTCATGGTCAAGTACCGCATTGATGTTTCATACACTTTTCTGGATTTCGAGTTATTTTGCAATTCATCGTTCTCATTTGAAATCAAACGGACTGTAGTAGGATGATATCTGTGATGTGACTGTTTACCAAGCTCCTCATAAGGCAGCTTGGGTTTTATACTTCCCAGGGAGCTGAGAATGAAATTCAAGGGTACATTGATCCATTGACCAGGGTACTAATGTAGCGCTTTGATTAGACCTTAGGGTGAACATTTAGCACCTAATAAATATACATAAATGGGGTCCTGGGGACCTATTCTGCCCTGAAATCCCAACAAGGAGAAAAGAATGAGGTACTTGGGACCTATTCTGCCCTGGAATCCCCACAAGGAGAAAAGAATGAGGTACTTGGGACCTATTCTGCCCTGGAATCCCCACAAGAAGAAAAGAATGAACTACTTGGGACCTATTCTGCCCTGGAATCCCCACAAGGAGAAAAGGAGAAAAGAATAAGGTACTGAGGACCTATTCTGCCCTGGAATCCCCACAAGGAGAAAAGAATGAGGTACTGAGGACCTATTTTGCCCTGGAATCCCCACAAGGAGAAAAGAATGAGGTACTGAGGACCTATTCCGCCCTGGAATCCCCACAAGGAGAAAAGAATGAGGTACTGAAGACCTATTCTGCCCTGGAATCCCCACAAGGAGAAAAGAATGAGGTACTGAAGACCTATTCTGCCCTGGAATCCCCACAAGGAGAAAAGAATGAGGTACTGAGGACCAATTCTGCCCCAGAATGCCCACATGAAGAAAAGCATTTGGCA